CCCTCACAGAAAACTTTCTGCATTTTTACAATTTCAAAAGTAAAAAAAAAAACTGTTTAATTAATTTTTATAACAGTTTTACAAATGAGGACATCCACAAATTGAGGTTTTTGCCGATTTTGTCAGGTTTTTCTCACATTTGGGTACAAATTTGTCCCCTAAATATGGTTAAGAAGGTATATACACACACACACACACACACACACGATTCCACCCAAATCAGCTTATCTTTGTAAAATGGAACAGCTTCTTAATTACTGGAATGTGCATTCTTAACTTCAGCCAATCAAGCATTATATTATGATATTATGATAATTAAGCACTATTTAATGATAGAACTAGTGATTAGAACTAAAACTTGGTAAACGTGAATGAATGCATATTTGTCATTTTAACTGAACTTCGGACTGGTGGTGGTGGTGTTTAAGATATTGTTGGTCATAGGTAATATTAATTATTAAAAGATACTACTACTATTATTGTCTGCTGGGTTCATGAATATTAATCACGTTGTCAGCGTTCGCTCGAACTGATTTGCTGAAATCAAAACAAGGACGGCAATAGATGAGCGCCAGCCAATGAGAGCTGTTCGCGCATTAGCTCCGCCCACTGCCGAGAAACCGGCATATCTTCTGCTTGTTCTTAAGAGCTGAATACTTCTAAATTAACTTTTTTTACATGTACATGTTACATGTTTAGATGTAGCGCGTCGATTCAGCGTGGTATACAAGACTCTCGCTCTCTTTGCATGTGTGAGAAACACAGCGCTATCAGTAAAGCGACGGCGAGTCGTGCGCCTTCACACTAGTTTACGGTGCGTCAAATACAGGTTCGCGTGCTACATACTGCGCATCCATTGAGTACATGACATGATCCATTGAGCGCATCCAAATAGTACAGATCGCTTGACGGAGAGCGAAACTCAAGCGCTCAGTCAGCGTGTTTATCGAGTGATAATCTGTGTTGAACGCCTCACACCCACATACTGGCGTGTAAAATCTAAGAATTTATTAGCCAATAGCTAATGTTAGATATTATTTAGTCGCCCAGAGTAAGATTTAGTCGCATATGCGAGTGATTTACTCGCAATGTAGAGGGTTGATTGTCACCATAGTCTTTCTGAAATGAGAAGAATTGTTGTAACAGAATTGCATTGCATTGATGGCAGGGAAATGATGCAGCCACCGCGGACGCGCACGATGCTGTCTTAGCGGTGGACGAGCAGGGCGCGCACACTGTAAGGTTTGTGACCGAGCGCCGAGGAAAAGGCCGCACCGCTAAGAGAAAGCTCAATGACTCCTCACCTGTCACTGCTCAGGTATTCATGAGCATATGTACATTATTTTCAATCCAGACGGTTTCATCTTTTACTTTTAGATATTATATCTAAGTCTTGGGTTTTGTAATTCATTTTTTAATATGTAATATTTAGACTGAAGAAAAGCCGGGAAAAGAGGAGAGCCGAAGGGGCTCTAAGAGGAGGAAGGTGTCCTCAGCCGAGGACACACAGACTCCAGGTCAACCTGAAACATCCACTAAAGAAGATCCTGTGGAGAAAGGTCTAGAATCTGGGGAAACCAATCTAGACTCTGAAGATGCTCCTGCAGAGCCAAGTGTTAAAGGTTAAAACCGTCTTGATTTTAAGTTGTTCATGTAGATGTTATTAATTAACCTTATAATTAAGATCTAATAGATGAGCGAGATAAGTTACCTTTTAATTTGTTCCTGCACAGTATGTGTGGTGTTCACTATTAAAATGTATATCTTGCAGGTGTGGGGAGAAGAACAGTGGGTAAAATCCCCCGTCTTGAGGGTCTGATGAAGAGAAAGCCTGCGCTGCGGCCGACAACTCCTAGTAATAAGATCCTTCCAACTTTATACACTAAAACAAAATATATTGTCCAGTTCCTGTACTGTTCAAAAGACAGTTTCTTGTTCTTGTTTAGTTCATTGTTTCACTTGAGCTTATTTAACATATGTAACCAAATATTCTGAGCTCTGCCCTTGAGTAATGTGTTTGCAAATCACTCTTCCCCAGACTTCAAGAAACTCCATGAGGCTCACTTCAACAAGATGGAGTCCATCGATTCTTATGTCCAAAGGAAGAACAAACAAATGGAGGTGTTAAGGAATTCTGTCAAGAAGCTGAAGGTAAAAATGAGAGTGAAACCCTGGCCTGTCAAATAATAATAACCAGTGTTATTGTCATTAAAGGGATAGTTCACCCCCCCAAAAAAATTTTTTATTTACTCACCCTCATGTCGTTCCAAACCTGTATGACTTATTTTATTCTGTAGAACATAAAAGAAGATATTTTGAACAATGTTGGTAACCAAACAGTTTTGGTTTCCATTGACTTCCACTGTATGGGGAAGTCAATGTAACTTTTGTAAACAAAAAAGTTTGTTAAAATTACAAACTGGAAATAAATAAATAATAATAATATAAATATATATGTATATATAACTGACACAAAAAAAACGGAATAAAAGCTAATTCAAAATATGATAAAAAAAACTAAAATAACACTGTTTTGAACAGTGCAGTTTGAGTTCCAAATGTTTTCTTTATAAGTGGTTTATTTATTTTTGTAATTTCAGACTGTGTCCGAAAAGGCGCTGACGAAATCGGTTGAAACAAAGTCTCAAACTGTAAGTCACCAAACAGCTCGAATATCAGCTGTAGTATCAGTCTGTGTGTCTTCATGATTCACTGTGAATTCACATACACCCTTATCAAGTTATGTGTCAAATAGTGACATCTTAAAACTCTGGGGGAAAAAATCCAGAATCTTACATTTTGTTAAATGAGAATTTAAATTGAAGACTTCGACCTGAATTATAAGCAAACTTTGGTATTGTTTCCCATTAGAAGGTGCCTGCTAGCCGAGTGCCTCTCTTCAGTCCTGGAGTGCAAGAGAAAAAAACATTGGCAGAAAAACGCAGGCTCACTCAACAATCTGCCAGCAAGTCTGCTTTGAAGGACAGTGCTACCTTCAGGCCAACTGTCCTCACCACTAATAAAATCAATGTTAGGTAAATACATCAATGGGCTCTAATTCACTTGTGTTTATAATGCTTTTAGTATTGAAATTGAGGTGCTAAAGCCAAGCATTGTGGTGTTTAAATGGAAAATAATTTATTAATATATAACAAATTTCTACAGCTGTACTTAAATGCTGACATATCACTTAACTGCTGCGTTTCCATCTCTAGGTTCTCGCAGACCACTCACGATAACGAATATAAGCTTTCGCTGGTAAAGACTCCAGCTCGTATGTCTCCTCTCATCCCTCTTACTTCCACTCCAGGGAGGAAATCTGATGTTCATACCAAACCTGAACTTAATAAAAGTGTTGGTGCC